GGAAAGAGCAGGTAGATAGATCAAGGCTGGCCAAACACTTAATCCAAAAGGAAGACCTAAATAGGGCCTTGGCCTAGCTTTTTCTAAAGGCAAATGATGAAGTATGGCCACTGCTGGAAAAATCACTGCTTTCCCTGCAGCAGCCTGCCAAGGTGACAACCCTGGGGAAAGGAACTGTGTCACTTACCTATCTGTTAAAACCAAGTACCTGCAGAGATGATCGCTGAGATGCTGTAAGACTATGGGAATCAGGAGAATCTGGAATGTGAGGGCAGGCAGGTAGTGGTACAGGAAAAGTGTTTTCTCCATCAGGAAGAAGGGCAGGTAATTCACAGCCCAGCCGCCAACACAGATCCCCCCAGCTGATACCCACAGCTGCCACGCATCTGCGGGAGACAGGAGACATCTCAAAGCATAGTCCCTGGAAACCTAAAGTCTTTAAGAGGTTGCATGGTTTGTTTTTTATCCCCACTCTCTACAGTTTGTGCTAACAGAACCCTGAACTTGCCCACACTCAGCTGAGGGAAATGGTTAAATTTTGTCACACTCCATGAAGGACCCATCAACACCGATTACAGCCAACGTGAAGCAGCTTCACAGCGTGACAACAAAACGTACTGCCAGAAAGGGCAGCGTAAAACTGCCTGGCCACACTGAGGAGATGGTACCTGTTGGAACAAATGCATCTAAAATAAACCCCTCCCCACACAGCTAGCACCTACCTCTTAAATCATCGCAAAAGGGCTCAGCAGAATCCAAATCTAATGCTTGGAGATTTCTGACATCCAGAGACTGATTCAAATAAATATTATGCTGGCTACTATACTGTCTCATGAGGTGCCGGTCATACTGTGATGACCGCAATCAGTCTCTTCGTGGCCTACTCTAGATGTTTGGGTGTTCCAAAAATAAAATTTCAGGATTAGGGGACAGGCAGGAAAAAGTGCTAGCATAGCTGAGCACATAGTTGCAAAAAACCTGTGCCTCTGGATGCATTAAAGTGTAGCAGAAGGAGAGACAGCACCCCCCACCCCCCACCCCCCACCTCAACACACTCATGCACACAGAGTGGAATCAGACCTTCAGGAATGTCGTAAATCTTTCTCCGTCGTCGTATCAAGTACCACAGGGACAGACACATATAGACCAGCGCAGCACTGTTAGCTGAAGCCCAGGTGACAATGTTCCCAAGGAGGTGGATCTGGGCCTGAAAGACAGAAGATGGTCTGAGCTAGAAGCAGGAACATGCTATCGCTCTTTTAGGTAAGTTTAAATATTGCCTACAAATACTTGCTAAATTAACAGTCAGAATGTGGCTGGCTGGTAACCTGATCTTTCCTGGAACAAAGCTAATTGATAAATTTTGCTGCTTTAAGACTCTTTTGTAATGTAAGACATTTAAAAGCTGCTGTTGGGGATTAACTCATCTTCTAAATGTAATCAATAATGGAAACGATTAAACTGCAGTTTTCCTTTACAAAAAAAAGAACAAAACAACATGATTTAATTAAAAGCAACTACTGTGCTGTATCACATTCCAAAAAAAGCCCCAACCCCCAGGGAAAATACATTCTTAATAGAGGAAGAGTCCATCCTGGAGCAGCTCTTTGGCTGGACCTGCAGCCCTGCTCTCCCTCACACTCACAGCCAAACTGAAGTCTGCTTTCTTCACCTGGTTCACGTTTACTTCTACCTCTCCTACTTACACCGGAGGTCGGATGGAGCCAGTAGGCAATGTTTGTGTCCATTGTGATCCAGTCAAGAGCAGAGGAGCTGTACTTATGTTCTGTGTCTTCATTTTTTAATGTGAGTATTTTCCACTAGGAAAAAAGAAGTAAATAGGCGGCTTTTCAGAATTGGAACAAGTGGGATAGCAGGCACAGGTGAACAGCTCCAGATGCAAAATGGTAAGTTCTTAACCTGGGAGTAGAGAAAGATTTTTGCGTATCTCATACTGGATACTGATCAACGAAATGGTTTTATTTTGTTACATAATGCACTTTCCTTAGTGCATTTCTGCATCAACACTACTGCTTGCATACACAACACGTTACAGTTCAGTTTCAGCCAGCTTCCAGGTGCCCAACTGATCTGCCTCCCCTTTCTTTTTTTACACAATCACTTGGGTCGTCGTTACTGAATAGCATACTCGCACAGTTCTCTAATGCCCTTCTAAGTGCATTCAGAAACGTTGGTGGTTTTTTTTTTTTTTGTCAAAGAGGAAGCCAAACTACTCTATCAGCAAGGAATAAACAATGAATCCTCAGGTTCAGAGTTTGCAGAAATGCTCAGGTTCCTGCTCTGGGGCAGGAGGAAGGGTGAAAGGAGTAAGCAGACACTCACCTGCAATTCCGTGAACTTTGCCATGAAGCTGAGGTTTTTACTTATGTCCATCTGCGTGGGAGAGTGGAGTTCCACTTCCCTCTCTTTTTGCTCTTGGCCTGGAAGAAAACAGCATAGCTCAGAAATAACCACCTAACAGGGAGAAAGCCAGAGAGGGGAAAGCACACATAGGATATACCCCTGGCTCCTCACACTCCCAGGAGCCCTTCTCCAATACATAGGCCAACTGCGAGACCGCTCTAAGGGGATTTGTAAAGATTCTGACATCAGAGCCTGCCGAACACACATACACATGATACCGTCACCCTCCTCTCAACATGAAGAGTCCCCCAGCCACAGGAATCTGCTTCGAGAACACGGCTGAGACGTACTTTTCCCATATCTGTGCTCTTCCACATTCCACACCATGCTCTGGTGGTAGCCTTTGGACAGCTTCTCTCCAACCACCTCCAGCTGCAGGCATCCCCACTCGGGTAAAGATGCACCGCTGAGCTGGAAGGGAAAGAGGACTGTAAACTTGCAGTCCTGCAATGTAAACTTCAGGACAGAAGTTGCTAGGCCCTGCCTGAGCAGTGGATGACAGCAAGGGACTGCTAGGAAGTATGTGAAGAGTCACCACGCAATATTGCCTCCATAAATGCAACCACCACGAAGTCAGTGATTCTGGGGAACGCTGTGATGAGATCCTTAACCATCCCAGCTGCTGTACATACTGCCCAGTGTTCACAACACGCTGAGAAGCTGAGAAAGAATGCAGTATGAGTATGACCACCTGAAACGCAGGCTGCCCTTTTATCACATTGAGCAAGTTTAGTGTTTCCTTTTATGTGCTTATTTGGTTATTTGTTTTAGGGGTTTAGGCACTCTGGAGCAAAGAGATTAGTAGCTTATGAGATTACCAGAACTGCGCAGAGGAAAAGCTATAGGCAAATAAACCTAAATCCACTTGCCTTTAGCACTGCAGAGGTGTTCACGTGAACAAACCTCACTTCTGACAGAATTGTCTTCCACACGTCTGTGTCAGACTCCCGATTTACAATTTCCTACAACAGAAAGATGTCTTTTGATCGTCATGTTGTCTCAGCTGTTTCTGCTGGAACACGATGGGCTCCTCCCCTGCCCTTTGACCACTCACCACTCTCCAGAGGTTCTGTGCTGGCATGGAGATGTTATAATCAATATAGCAGGACACTTCTTGGGAGTGGGGGCTAAGAGGGGCAGCAACATCATGCCTAGAAGACAAGTAAAGTAAGATCCTCCAACACTATTTCCCAAATTCATATAAAAAACAAACCAATTGGCTTAGGTTCAGTAAAAAAGCAAAACCAAGTAACCCATTTATACAGATTGCACTGTTTACTCTGAAAGAGAACACTCCCCACTACCAAGAGCTGCCAGGAACAGGCTCAGAGGAAGGCGATACTGCTATGCCAGGCTGAAGAACAAGCACTGATTGTGACAAACAGAGACGCTGTTCACTGGGGTTTCCAGTAATGAACAAGCTACGTTTGGAAGGGACACAGCAAAAACCCAAGCCCAGAACAGCCCCCCTTCCTAATCTGAGTGATATTCAAGTACATGCAGACTTTTGGGAAACAGCAAGGAGGCAATTTCACACTGCAGTCTTTGCAAAACAGGCAAGAAGCTGTGGCAATCAGCCACGGCACACTGGACTCTCCAACACATCTTCCTAACTTTCAGAGCACATCCTTCATGCAGGAGTACACCATCAAAGTCAGTGGAGTTGACTTTGGGTTAACAGTCACACAAAACACTAAATATCTGCACCTCTCTGGAGCAGAGGCAGTGCAGGGGCAAAGATGAAGACTCACCAAGGGGACTATGTATTTAGGAATCTGCAGAACTATCATGAATTGTGAACATGGGCGAAACCACAACTAGCCCCCCTAAAGGCCACTAGTAGAGAAGACCAGAAACAGCCAGCAGCCACTGAACAGTCTGCAATTAATATCAAATCCCACTGCCACGTCAACTGCAAAAAAATAAATAAGCAATAAATAAGCCACATGGTTGGCTTATGGAAGTAACAATATGAGGTCCCTCCTAGCCCCACTGTTTTAAGAATCCAGGAAAAACAGGCAGTTTACAGCATAGCTGGATGCGAGGGTCACTGCGCTGCAATCCCTGAGGAGTTATTCCGAGAAACAAAGCAGAATGAGCCAGCAGGCTCGGCAGAGCAGAGGGTGAGGAAAGGACGTACGTGTTGAGGTACCGAGTCGTGATGCCATGGACCAGCTGCACGATGTGTCCATGCCTGACAGGACGGGGTGGGTTACTCACCACCAGCTGCTGCCTGGAGGAATGACACCCGAGAGGAAGTGGTTACGTTCTTCTTTCTGCATAATGCAACCTTGTCATGACCAAACTGTCAGGTCAAGAAGCTGCAGGACATTGAGGGAGTAAGATGAAAAATTCAAGCAACCTACAGATTGTACCAGAATGGAAATAAAGCTCATCAAGGCAAAGGTGAGTTACGGGCAGAATGAGTCAGAGGACTGGTAATGGCATACTGACACCCCAGCCATCAGGTCAGTGATCTGACTCCAGGACAGTCAAGAGCGAGTTCAGATTATTCCCACCACACAGCTGTTTGGTGACCTCTGTGAAATGAGTAAGTGCTTCAGCGAGGTCTCACAGGTGTCCGTACTACAACTGATGTCACTTTTGGCAGAATTAGAAGAGTGATCAATGGCTCCACTACAAAGACCAAACTCCCATCTTGCTTCTGGACAGGGCTAAAGCATGCTTTGGCAAGGGGGAATGATGCAGTTCACCTAACTGCTGCCTGTTCTATAGAAGGACTTCGCATCCTCCAGGGCTCATAGAAGTCTGGAGTCTGAAGAATTTTAAGAAGATATTGGGTTTCTGTGGTTCTGGTATTGTCCGCACTTGAAAGGTTTGCACTATGGACACACCTTCCCAGTGTGGATATGATTTATAATGGCACACAGTCCTGGTAGGACTGTTTATACAGTTCCCAGGGCAACATAAGAAACCTGCGAAAGCAACTTTTTGATCAGTATGAAATAATATCACACAAAGGCTTTTACTGGCAAAACTACAAGAAAAATAGTCCTGCTCCTCACTGACAGTTACAACGGCAAAACACTTCAGCGCAAACCAGTGCTCTCAGGCACAGGCACCCACTTGGAATCCCTCCTGATGCGGCAGACTCGACAGCTCATCCCACACTTTGAATACAAAGAAATACTCATTCTGCAAAAGTGATTTCTACTCTCTTCTGAGACCCATTCATGTTCGATTAAACTCATCAAGGCACTCTAATGCCATGGCTCACACACTTCAAAAAGCAGAACTTGCCCTTCATGCAAAGCACCTGAAGAGCTCCCACCGGTCTCATGAGTCTTTAAAGTTCCCCTTGTGCACAGCACAGCCCACGTTCTGGCGGGAGCAGTTCAGACAGAATTTCAGAGTCTGCAATAATGCCTTTACCATATTGAGGAGGATTGTGCAAACAGCCACTCTCACCAACTCTGCAGCTGAAATTACTTGCTCAGGATCACACATGACCTCTAAGCCCATAAGCAGAAATATTCATGTCCAACCCAAGCTATGTCCCAGTTAGGTTTTGGAAGCATATAGAAGCTATGCTTACAGCAACCTGGCATTTAAATCTCTTGCATACTCACATTCCAGGATCTTTGACAATCCACCAGTTGTTCACATCCTTGAAGGGGTAGCAGGTCACCTGCTGTTGATGGGAACTACCTCGGCCATTCTCATACCTGTACAGAAGGTTAAAAAAACCGCACAGGTGTGTAACAGAACATTTCTGTGTTCAGCAGAGTTACAGCAACACAAAACAGCACCAGATCGCTGGCTCCATTCCTACAGAGCACAGAGAATCTGTATATCTGCAGTGTGCTGTGAGGGATTAATGATGAGATTGCCAGAACCCAAACAGAGATACCTGGACCAGCAGGTGAAGAACCAGAGCGTACTTTCACCCTAACAATACAGACCTGACCAGATTCCTCACCTGATGGGATAAGTATTCGTGTGAGAATGGAGCCAGCACTGCATGGGCTTGCCCAACACGTTCCGTAGAGTAATCTGAGAGCCGTAGGCTACCTCTAAGGGCTGACCCTGAGTGATTCGAGCCAGCCCACCCTGAGAAGCATAATGACAGGGTAAGTGGAAAGATGCAGAAACAACCCAGAGGCTGTTTAAATTCTATTAAGAGTCACCTGTCACTTTAACATATCCGTATCTTAGCACAATGCCTTCTCATTTGGTTGTATCTACGAAAATCAAGTCTTGCAGCACCATATTCAGCAGACAGCAAATACAACAAAAACACCAATGCCTGAAAGATTACAGGGTCTTAGGGAATATCCCTAAAGCCATGCTGCTCTAAATGATAGATTAAGCACTCTTCTACAGAAAATCATACTGTCATCCTGCAGTCTACAACCTCATCACTTAAGCGTTCAGTACTGTATCTACTTCTGTGGAGTGTCCCGTAGGAAGGGACAAATCTTCAGCAGAAGAGTGAACATATTGTTCTTGGTTCACTAGGAAAACCTATTAATCCATTATTAGGATTTCAGTCATTACTGATTCATCCTAAAGCAGTACTACAGCAGTGAAGTAGTTAAATGACATAAAAGGAACAAATATGCAAGATTAAAGGAACAAGATTGCACACCTTTCTTCTAATAGTGAACACAAGACAGATTCTCCCTTCTAATCCCCTACTAAATCAATTTCATGACCACATTTCCTTTACCTCTAAACTGGCTTGGAAAGCACTGGTCATAATCTGGTCATGAGGCCCAGAGCGATACAGCAAAGTCAAGTGGACATAGAAGAAGGACAGGTACATTGCCATTGGGATGATGATGAGGGCCAGTCCCCTAGCTAGAAAATGGCACATCAAGGAAACCTAGAAGAACATCAAGAACTCAATGGTTTCATGCTCCAGATATTAAAAATATTAAAAATACCAGTGCACTTGGCTTGTTTTATTTGTCTTTTTTAAGTTTCCCCAACCACCCTCCTTCAGCTATAACTTCGTGGACAGCTGGATAACTTTCACCGAGGGTTTGAACTGGAGCCAGCGGGAGGTATGTGAAACAGTACAGGTTTTGAGCCACAAATCACCAAGATGTGAATAAGAGCAGAAAAGCCAGTCACACACACATGCTTATCTTAAATTTAACTCCATCTTCTCCAGCAACTGAGCTGGGAAACTGTTCTATGACATGAGGGTCCATAGACTATGACAAGGAATTTTAGGACAAAAACCATCTACAGACAGCATTGTTATCTGTGGGCTTGCAAGACTCCTGGTTGGCTCCTGCACTGAAAAGCTACACATAATGTATTTTGCACGTTGTGCTACCTACATTTGAGAAGTTCTGGTCTCCTATCATGTGCCAGAAGTGGAGTCCTGCGATGGCCAAGAGCAGCATATAGGTAAACAGGCCCATATATTTCACTCTGAAAAGAAAGTGCATAAAAAATGAACACAGTCAAAAACTACACAATTACCTAATACAAGACATAAACATTTAAACTTTCTCTTGAACAGGATGCATTAAAGTCCAAGGACTTAGATCCATGACAAGTTTGGTACAACAACATAAATAAACTGCAAGGCTTTGACACCAGATGATGTCATTTGTTTGCCAATTACACTAAATAACCGCACTGACAGAGAACCTTCTTGATAACAAGGTGGCAGATCACAGATTCCCTAAATTCAGACTTCCTGAAGCTTGACGCAACTAGGAGGGAGGTGTGAAATGCAGATGCTAATTTCTGACATAAAAGCCATCGCTGAGAAATGCATTCTGTTCTTCCCAGGACAGTACCCTCTCACGCTTGGTACTGCCCATGGTGAATTGACATCCTCTCTACAGAAACAGTCTAACTCATTAAAAAGTCATGGAGATGTCTGCTCAGAACAGCACCAAGATTCAGTCTTGAAAATCCAAAGCCCCGCTGATACCTTTGATGGCAGGCAGGAATGTCAGTTTATTAAAACATCACCACTTACCCAACTGCACAAGAACAAGCCACTCCAGTCAACAGAAGCCAAAACCACCAGCTTCCAGAGAAGGAACTTAAATAAAAGGACAAATGAAAGGATGTTATGGTGAGATGTGGGCACCTTCTTAGGATCCTGAATTCAGGCAATTTAATCTTAAAAAAAACTTGCAGGATTCCACTATTCCTTATTCTACTCAGAGGTATCTCATTCTAAACCTCCCAAGCCACCAACTCTGAGCCCTGACCTACAGGGTGCTGTTAAATGTACTTCTCTGTATCCTGAACAGGAAAACTGAACGCTACCTGCCTTCTGATACTACGGATAAAAGAAATGTATTAAATCACTTACTGGGCTCAGTTTAAAGATAACTTTACTTTACTAAAGATTACTTTATCCTCTGCATATGAAGTCAAAAGAAAAGAGACAAAGAGCTTTAAAGTCAGTGCCTGCAAACAGTAACAAAGGAGCATTAAGTGACCTTTATCACCAGTGTTTCTGTGCACAGAAGGAAACCTTCCAATAAAAAATATGGGTAGGCAAAGGAGTGATCCTAAGGGATTTTATTTATATTGTGAAATAAAAAAGACAACCTTCCTACTTGTTCAAACAGTCTTTAATACTGCCCAGAAGAGAAAACTTCTGGGACAGTCAGACGAGAGGTCAAAGCATTGGATTTTACAGACAGATGTAGTGAGTTGCTGAATGGTGAAGTGACTCATAGAAAAAAAACACACAATCTGTGACAAAGAGTCACCACAAGAATATCCAAAGGGATCCAGCTTTACCTGTGCCTTTGCAAATTGTAGAACTTCAGGTAGGACAAAACTGCAAGCAGGATAAAAAAAATCAGTATTGATTCCAGAAGCATGAACCTCGACTGAGTAATCAAAGAGTTCTCTGTTGGAAAAGAAAGATAGACACAAAATTAGAGAAAATTATCTGTTGTAGCAAGTGCTACCTCAGACAATTGCATCATTATCCAGCAGAAGGACCTGCCGCTTTAAGGACAGCCAACTATTTTCCAATGTTACTGGCTGTAACAGGGAGGTGTTGGGTTTAGGGACAACAACCCTCCAGCAGGAGCAAAGTACGTGGCCATAACTGTCTCCAGCAGGAGCAAAGTACATGGCCATAACTGTCTCCAAGGACAAAGACGTGGGCAAGTAGTAAAGTCTGGCAGGAGGCAGATAAAGGTGTTGTGCTTGACTACAAAGGCAAACACAATCAACGCTGCGAAATCCAGAGAGGTGCTTCTCAAGGCAAGGAGAGTCAAGGCAGTGACCCCAGCAGGCAATGAGCATGATGACAAATCTTCAAGAAAGGGAGCTGCAATGAACTGCTTTGTGCAGGATTCCCTGAGCCAGAATCAGGGCTGGCTGCACAGTCTGGTTTGCTGCAGTTTGGAGGTGAAAAAATGTGATGAGCTCTGACTGCGGGTAGGGCCATCCTTCTGCTAAAAACCAGTATCCTGTAACTCGTCCTGTAAACCTCTGAGGAAGAGAGTACAGACCTCCTTGGATGCAAGAAACATGGGTTCTCTGTGAGGCTGTTCGGGCTGCCCACTTTGCTTAATACTGAAATGGACTTGTATGAACCCTCAGCCTAGAAGGGCAGCCTGCTGCAGAGCTCTAAGGACAGAGGGGACCAGAGAGGCTCAGTGGAGACTGATACAGGCCAGGGCTCAAAGTGGGCTCCAACGTGTTGTTACTTTCTGTGGGGAGATGCTACTCCAGCCTTTTCTGCACCCTAAAAATTCACAAGGGGAAAAGGGACCCTTCTCCCCCTACATGAAGAGTGGGGCCCAGGGGAATAATCTTACCTAAGAGAATGAGGAGAGCAGCTCCATGTGCAGCACAGTGGGAGAACTGCAGTTCTACCAAAATCTGGTATGCTAAAGGCACACAGAGAGCACCAGCCAGTGCTGGTAGGAGTCGCAAGGACCAAACAGGAACGTTCATGCTATACTCTGAAATAGGAGACAACAGTGATGCACAAATTTGGAGACTATTAATTGGAGAGAAGATGGATCAATACAGAACTCATGACTACAATGAGTTGTTGAATCAAACTCCTACTCTTGCTAATTTATTGTCCATCTTGTACTGCTGAAACTCTTTTAACTGATTTAAAAAATTTGTGAGATGGAATCTCAATGCCTTACACTTCTGTTAGACACGCGCAGAAGACTTATTTAAGAGGAGAAGTGAAGGTGTCAGATAAAGCATTATTTCTGCTAGTGAAGCAAAAGGAATGTCAGCCGCTGAAATACTGCTCATTTTCTCAAAAGAATGAGACAGCTAAAATCAGCTCTTACCAGCACCAATCCTGTTCCATAAGAAGTTTCCATCAAATCCTCCTAAGTAACCTACAACATAAGCAACAATTCTGAATTTCCAGTCTCAAAACAAGTACAAAAACTGGTGCTAAATTCATCCTGGAACCATTTCCCAAACACACAGCATTTCCATGTGTGAAAGCCCCCTTTCCCCAAAGGGTCCTCTTTCGTACCGTTTTGCCTGCAGCAGTGCTTGATAATGTACAGAGGCACGAAGAATATAAATTAGGAACAAGATTCTGAGGGACAAAGTTACATGTATATTTAATCTCTCCTTCCCATGCAGATGCTTTTAAGTTGTGCGTATCTCAGCTACAGAAAGGAACTCAGGCCTGAAAGTCTGCCTGCTGCCTACTATTTCTACTCACTAGCAGTTCTCACCTTTCTCTTTATCCAAAGGTCTGGATAACAACGAGATAACGGACACATGGCTCCACCACCTCCCCAGTACCAAACAGCCCCCTAACAATACTAAATAACAGAAATCCTTATTCTCTCTACATCTGAATTTCTCAGCTGCCTTGCGCTTCTCCCCAGTGACAGGATCTGACAGCTCCTTTCTAACCAGCACTTCTCTCTTCCACAGCAACAGGCAGTCGACACCCAGCAGACGCCCACCTCCCAGAGCGAGCAGCATATGGCCAAAAGGTGGGCCGCTGTCATCCACGAAGAAGATCCGCTTCATGTAGAGCGAAACGAATTGGCCATAATAAACTTCGTCAAAACTGAAACACGAGAGACAGAATCATGTCAAGTCTAACTGGAAGTGTCCTGCAGGCTGCAAGGATACTAGGGAAGGAAACATCGATTTGTTGGCAAAAGGCTAAGAATCCAATGAAACACAGTGGCTTTGCCCCCTTCCCTTCCCCTCCCCTCGGGAGTTTCTATTAGGGAAACTCTATCACCATATTTACAGAGGCTGACATCAGGGAAGCTCTGCTCTTCCGTTCCTGCATTCTTACTCACAAATGTTTAAAAAACAACTCTGTGTTGTTCAAGCAGAAAATAAACTATTCTACTCACACTACAGCCCGCGGGTAGGAAAGCCCCCAAAGACGGCTTATTAATCCCATCACAGTCAATGCCACAAGGTTCATGTTTATCTCCGCAGTAACCACAACCGGCTTCTTCAGACATCCCAACATCCTGCCAAAGGTCTGTCCGAACCTCCGAGAGCAAACAGAGAAGAGCAGCAGTCACCCTTTCACTCAAAGCTAGCTGAAGATCATTTGACAGAAAGGACGCACCACTACTTTCTGCTACTAGCAGCTCATGGTAACTGATCTTCCAAAGCTCTCTCGTTTTCCACATTTATGTATTTTGTGCTGTATCTACAGTAGTAACTCTAAAAATGAAGTTACTTTTCATCTGCCCTGCTTCTACGTGCATACAGGTCTCTATCATAAATAATAGGCTAGAAACTTTGCTTATTTTTACTCTGCTTCTGCAGAAACACAATAGCTTCATTCAAGCCTATATTCCGCTTTGCACTAAGCAAACCTCCCAGCCCAAACTCCGATGCTAGTGATAGGCAAACCACATGCTCAGGCACCAGGCTGCTCAGGTAGGTTTAAAAAAGTTATTTCCTTGCAAACTGAGCCTATTTCTCCAGAGGGGCAGAGGGCAGAACCTGCCAAAATCCTCTGTGTTACAAAACTGGCTGCTGAGCACGAGTGTGGGTGCTGCAGGGCTCTGGCACAGCCTAGACTGGAGCGCTGCAGGAAGCAGGACTGAATCCTGCTCTCTAGGCAGAACTGCTAAAAGCTAGGTCAGGCAGTAGCAGGGAATCAGTGCTGCATTTCCTCACCTCAATATGACTGAAAGTCACTGGAATAAATCCATCTGCGTGGCTTTGATCAGGGGAGAACAAAGCAAGATGCGCGCACATCACCACCCTCACGCGCGGTGCCACCGTCCTTGTTTCTCACTACCTACAAAACAGAAGCACTGCGTGGAACAGACTTTTTAAGCAGGCCCTCGCAAAGCTGTGCTCTGCAGCGGCACTGCAGACGCCACACCACTGCCCTGCCTGCCCTGCGAGGAGGGCAGGCCATCACCTGCTATCGCCTCGCCGGCTCTGGGACCCCAAAGAACACCCTGACATAGAGCACCCTGGAACCCTGGGGCAGGACTGCAGCACTGCCTGCTCCCCCAGACCTTAAGGAACCATGAACCCCTCTACCAGGCTGTGCACCCCCTTCCGTGAGCCTTATGAGGGGGCAGCAGGACCATGAACCTCCCCCCCTCCCCGGCCCTGCTCCCCCTTCTGAGCTCTGCGGGGGCAGCAGGACCCCACACCGAGGCCTCTCTTGAGCCTCACAGGACCAACAGGGCCCACCAGCCCCCCCGCATCCAGCTCCGTACCCCC